ACAGTTATCACCTTAGTATGTAGAGGTGCGTGTTTCTTTATAAGGGTTTCTATACCAGATGTGTATGTTCAACAAGATCATTAATTCAGCATTCATTAAACTGTATGACAGAAGAAGACTGACTGTCATTGTTGAAATCTGGTATTGAAATTTCAAGGAATTTCCGGAAGCTCACTACTTCCCCTTTACATCACCTAGACATGGATCTATAACTGAAATTGCTCCATGAATGACCGAGTTATCTTCCCTCGTTGTGACCACATCCAGTGTGTGGCCATAGGTGTGTGAAGCTTCTGTAACATGCTGAATCAGACCCCTGGAATATAGTTGCCCAGAGAATGTTGATAGATCGTCTGTGTGGAAATAACTGTTAGAGTTATCTGTCTTGTATCAATGAGCGAGTGGTGTATTCTATTACAGTTAGATATATTATAATATAGCAGCTTGTCAATTGTATAAAACTTGTAAGAGTCCATGATGAAAACTATGTGAATATCTTGTGTTTTATTACATTTTCGGCTAATTGATTCCATAATAACGAAAATACATTAAAAGTAAAAAAAATCCAAGTAAGCAGAAGACACAAGTAGGGCATAAGCTTGGAAAATCTAGATAACCGTGAAAACTGATGTTTTATATTTTGGAGTAATTGTTTCTATGGTAACAGGAAAAAGAATTAAAAAGGAAATTCCAAAACAGCAAAAAGCACAAATAACGGTTCAGCCTGATATGTGTACAAAATTTCATACAGATACATGAAACTGTTTTGGAACTGTTCCCAAGAATACACAGACGGGCAGAGGGACGTATGGACGGACGGACGAACGATGTTTCTGCCGTTCCAACTTTTCCTCAGTTTAGCTGTTGCTATTACGATTACACTAAGATATTTAAAGCTGTTGACTGTAACATTGCTCTTGACCCGGTCAGTGCCGGTGTTAGCGGTGTTAGCGGTGTTACATGTAGTGGTATTCAGTTTGGACTTCTATGTGCTGGTATCAATGTCGTAGGCTACCGAGTGTTTCAACCAAACTGTCGATCTTCTCTTCTTTCCTGGCTAGGCATTCAATGTCGTAAGCAAAATGTAAGTTGGCGATTGTATTGCCATTGATGCTGACCGATCCTTAATAGCGTCTGTCATGATTCCCTCGGGGACAACTTTAAAGAGGACCAATGAAGGCAAACATTCTTGCGCTACTACTGCTAACGTTCGGAACACTTAATTTTTCAAATTAGATTAGTTTGTTTAAAAAAAAATAGCCCAATTCTCGTAAAAACCCTAATACCTATGACAGACGTAAACAACATGTTAACGACTTAAAAGACTTATTTCATACACTTTAACTTATTTCATACTCTTTAACTTATTTCATACACTTTAACTTATTTCATACTCTTAAACTTATTTCATACACTTTAACTTATTTCACACTATTTAACTTATTTATACTCTTTAACTTATTTCATACTCTTAAACTTTTTTCACACTCTATAACTTATTGCACACTCTTTAATTTATGTCATACTCTTTAACTTATTTCAAACTCTTTAACTTATTTCACACTTTTTAACTTATTTCACACTCTTTAACTTATTTCACACTCTTTAACTTATTTCATACTCTTAAACTTATTTCATACTCTTAAACTTATTTCATACTCTTTATGCGGGGCTTTTGAATAGCCGTTGTTTTCATGCTATTTAAGTTTATGTTACGACACGTTTTTATACCCAATAACCCCATACCGGGCGACTCACTTTTTCAATGCTTCAATTTCAGAGATTGTTCAATCAATCAGCAGCAGTAGCTATAAGGGCATCAGATTGTTTTCAGTTTTTTCCGGATTGTTTTAGGGTACCTTCAAAAGGAGGATAAATACTTTATTAAAAACCTTGAAATTCAGAGCCCCAGTTCGTCTTTAATCATTTAAACAAATCTCAATATTTTAGACTATTTTTTCATATGATCCCCTCACTTACCCATACAGGAACAGATCAATTCAGGAAATGAACCCTTTTTTGCGATGACCTAGCTAAAGACTTAATTTCTACAAAATATCAATGTAAAAGGTAATGGCCCGCTCATGCATTAAAAGTGGGCACTCCTCCTTTGCGAAAGTCCTCTGAATGTATTCGCAACGTGTTAGACTACCCGGCCAGATGCAGAGTGACAACACCGACGGACGATACAACGGTGTAATGCTATAGGAAAGTTCACTAGACATGTGTACTGGCTGGATTGTAGATATGTTTTTGAGACTCATATGTATTATATGTAGTACACGTTGTATACCGGACACCTTTTACCTTGATATATTATATATAGTTATTTTATTAAACATTATAAAACACAACGATAGAAGTCGGAACGATTATGTACCAGATACACGATATAGTTGATACAATTGATAACATATATAGTACATGTATATATATACCCGATATATTATATGCCTGATAAAGTATATACCAGATACATTAAATATCAGATACATAATATACCAGATACATTATATACCAGATACATTATATACCAGATACATTATATACATGTGCCAGATACATAATATAGTTGATACAATTAATAACATTTATTAGTATATATATACCCGATACATTATATACCAGATACATAATGTAGATGATACAATTATTAACATATATATTATATATATATATCCGAAACATTATATATCAGATACATTCTATACCAGATACATTATATATCAGATACATTATATATCAGATACATTATATATCAGATAGATTCTATACCAGATACATTATATACCAGATACATTATATATCAGATACATTATGCATCAGATACATTCTATACCAGATACATTATATACCAGATACATTATATATCAGATACATTATATATCAGATACATTATATAACAGATACATTATATATCAGATAAATGTTTATATCAGATACATTATATATCAGATACATTGTATAACAGATACATTATATAACAGATACATTATATATCAGATACATTATATATCATATACATCATATATCAGATACATTCTATTCCAGATAAATGTTTATATCAGATACATTATATATCAGATACATTATATAACAGATACATTATATAACAGATACATTATATATCAGATACATTATATACCAGATACATCATATATCAGATACATTCTATTCCAGATAAATGTTTATATCAGATACATTATATATCAGATACATTCTATTCTAGATACATTATATATATCAGATAAATTCTATTCCAGATACATTTTATATAAGATACATTATATATCAGAAACATTATATATCAGATACATTATATATCAGATACATTATATATCAGATACATTCTATACCAGATACATTATATATCAGAGACATTCTATTCCAGATACATCATATATCAGATACATTATATATCAGATACATTATATGTCAGATACATTCTATTCCAGATACATTATATATATCAGATAAATTCTATTCTAGATACATTTTATATAAGATACATTATATATCAGAAACATTATATATCAGATACATTATATGTCAGATACATTCTATTCCAGATACATCATATAGCAGATACAATATATATCAGATACATTGTTCTATCAGATTCATTATATATCAGATACATTATATGTCAGATACATTATATATCAGATACATTATATAACAGATACATTATATAGCAGATACATTATATATCAGATACATTATATACCAGATACATCATATATCAGATACATTCTATTCCAGATACATTTTATATCAGATACATTATATATCAGATACATTATATATCAGATACATTATATATCAGATACATTATATATCAGAGACATTCTATTCCAGATACATCATATATCAGATACAATATATATCAGATACATTTTTCTATCAGATTCATTATATATCAGATACATTATATGTCAGATACATTATATGTCAGATACATTCTATTCCAGATACATTTTATATAAGATACATTATATATCAGATACATTATATATCAGATACATTTTTCTATCAGATACATTATATATAAGATACATTATATATCAGATACATTATATATCAGATACATCCTATACCAGATACATCATATATCAGATACATTCTATTCCAGATACATTTTATATAAGATACATTATATATCAGAAACATTATATATCAGATACATTTTTCTATCAGATACATTATATGTAAGATACAATATATATCAGATACATTTTTATATCAGATTCATTATATATCAGATACATTATATGTCAGATACATTATATGTCAGATACATTATATATCAGATACATTATCAGATACATCAGATATTAGATTAAACATTGATTATAAATGAAATCTGGGTTATGTTGGACAGTAACATACATAATGAAATAGTTAAGGCCCAGCCGTATGCAGTACAATTGTGACGAATGAGTGTTAATTATTCTGATTTTGTACTATATCGTTCCACTTGTATCATACAGACATTACACTGTCTGTAATTATCGGACATGTATTTTTTTCTGTTTTCTGTGGGAGTTATAACATAAATGATCGTTCACCATATTTCCTAACATTACTTATACCGAATGTTTTAGTCATGTGTCTAGGGAACTCTCCATTATACAGTATTAGAAGCTTGTATGCTTAAAGTGAAACCATTGCATTGATATTTCTGTTTCCTCGATAACAGTTTTACAAAAAAGAAGTGTTACAAATATGTTATCCGTGATTAACATATATAACTATATATAACTAAACGGAAGACATAACGACCCTATTCGGAGTGATTGACATGTATAGAACTACCGGTGTGTGGTGGTAGTGTTTGGTGTATCAGTCTCTGACCTGTCGGTAATTTATACAGCTGTATTGTGACGAGTACAAACAACATCTGATAGGACTGACAGGAGTTATAGTTACTATCTGATCGGGGTGTTCCCTAGCCAGGTACATACACCTACCGCACGACAGTAGTCAGAGGGACACATACACACATGTAAACGGGGTAAGCATTTGCAGACTGTACATATGATAAGTATATATTTGTATTATCACATACCAAACACCAAAAAGAAGACGTTCTGACGGTCAAACATCATAAGGTAATGTACTAAGTATATAAGAAATTAATTGGATATTCAAATATCAGAAATAACGTTCTGCGAATTAATACGGATTTATAAAATAGTATAAGAGGTGAAGTACTATGTAGGATACAAAATAATATTAGAGGTGAAGTACTATGTGGGATATAAAATAACATTAGAGGTGAAGTACAATGTGGGATATAAAATAACATTAGAGGTGAAGTACTATGTATAATATAAAATAACATTAGAGGTGAAGTACTATGTATGATATAAAACAATATTAGAGGTGAAGTACTATGTAGGATATATATAATATTAGAGGTGAAGTACTATGTATGATATAAAATAACATAAGAGGTGAAGTACTATGTAGGATATAAAACAATATTAGAGGTGAAGTACTATGTATGATATAAAACAATATTAGAGGTGAAGTACTATGTAGGATATAAAATAACATTAGAGGTGAAGTACTATGTAGGATATAAAATAACATTAGAGGTGAAGTACTATGTAGGATATAAAATAACATTAGAGGTGAAGTACTATGTAGGATATAAAATAACATTAGAGGTGAAGTACTATGTAGGATATAAAATAACATTAGAGGTGAAGTACTATGTAGGATATAAAATAACATTAGAGGTGAAGTACTATGTAGGATATAAAATAACATTAGAGGTGAAGTACTATGTAGGATATAAAATAACATTAGAGGTGAAGTACTATGTAGGATATAAAATAACATTAGAGGTGAAGTACTATGTAGGATATAAAATAACATTAGAGGTGAAGTACTATGTAGGATATAAAATAACATTAGAGGTGAAGTACTATGTAGGATATAAAATAACATTAGAGGTGAAGTACTATGTAGGATATAAAATAACATTAGAGGTGAAGTACTATGTAGGATATAAAATAACATTAGAGGTGAAGTACTATGTAGGATATAAAATAACATTAGAGGTGAAGTACTATGTATGATATAAAATAATATTAGAGGTGAAGTACTATGTTGGATATAAAATAATATTTGAGGTGAAGTACTATGTAGGATATAAAATAATATTATAGGTGAAGGACTATGTATGATATAAAATAATATTAGAGGTGAAGTACTATGTGGGATAAATATTAATCAATATTTAGGGTTCGGTCCTTAGTATGACATGTTTTAATCAATATTTAGGGTTAAGTCCTATGTATGATAGGGAATAATCAGTACTGAGGATAAAGTCCTAAGTATGATATGGAATATTCAATATTAAATGTAAAGTCGTTAGCATGATAGGGATTATTCAATATTTAGTGCAAAGCCATTAGCATAACATGGATTATTCAATATTAAGTGTAAAGCCGTTAGCATGATAGGGATTATTCAATATTTAGTGTAAAGTACATTGTACTATGTATGATATGGAATAATCATATTTACGGTAAAGTCTGAAGTATGATAGGGATTAATCAATATTTAGGGTAAAGTCTGAAGTATGATAGGGATTAATCAATATTTAGGGTGAAGAACTAAGTATGATATTGATAAATCAATGTCTAGGGTTAAGTACTTTGTATGATATATATTGATTAATCAATATTTAGGATAAAGTCCTAAGTATGATATGGATTATCAGAAGTCACAAAGCTATTGTTATACGAATAACCAGGGTAATTTTGATTGTTGTGGTATCGGTAAGTGAGAATTATTGAATTTACAGAAAACAGATAGATAAGTTTTACATAGATATATTTATGTAGACCTACAAATGAAGATAGCATTCACGATAATATGATTAAAAGAATATCACGTGTTTTGCTTATGATGACGTGTATTTATTTTGTATAATGACGTAGTCTTTTCAAACAGCACAATGAGTTGTTTTAGACAAACCACACAGGTGATTGAGATTTTTTGGAGTCTTGTTACATGGATAATCAGATACAATAACCAAACACGGTATCGTTACATGTTGATTGTACACAATGTAAGTTATACACATAGATGCATGAGGAATCAACAACATTAGATTTAAGGTATTCTTGTTTACTGATAATACCAAGTGCTCAGGTACCAAAAAAACACTTAATTAAAACTACACTCTGATAACTTAATGTACAATGTAGTCATAACCAATGAACGATCAATTAAAGTAACATTCTGGTAAAGTATAATACAAGGTGGTCAGGAACCAACAAAATGCTCGTTATAGCTTTAATTTACTCCGATAAGTTAAAGTACCAGATGGTTTACAACCAGTAGGAGATACATAATGTTGTAAAAAGCTGCCCTCTGGCTTAATTAATACATGTGTGTGTCTTATTAGCGGGTTTAAACCCCTTTTTATTCAGACAGATAACATGAAAATTACTTGGATATGTTCTCAAAGAATACTGTCAATATGTGACTTAATAAACGTCAACTGATTATCAGAGCAAATGAGAAACATCTGTACTGAAGCATACGGTAAAGATGTGACACGAACTGAAATACTACCATGTAAGTGTAATATTAATTGAAATACTACGGTGCAAGTATAATATTAACTGAAATACTACAGTGCAAGTGTAATATTAACTGAAATACTACAGTGTAAGTATAATATTAATTGAAATACTACAGTGTAAGTGTAATATTAACTGAAATACTACCATGTAAGTGTAATATTAATTGAAATACTACGGTGTAAGTATAATATTAACTGAAATACAACGGTGTAAGTGTAATATTAACTGAATTTCTACAGTTAATTGGCTTCATCAACTAAAATACTAAAGTAAAAGTATGTTATTATTATCGTAAACTTGATAAATGTTTGTAAATCACATTGACCGAATACCAAACCCGCGACCAGTTCTCAAAAACCTATTTAGCCTGGTTTTCCGGAGAATATTGCGCTCTAAATATTGCCTTTGTGGAAATCCCCTGCAACCTGGTGTAACGCATGTTAGACCGGAATACGATCCGTCTGTCAGACTACCGGAAAATGTGTCTGCTAGCGAACGATTGAGCTCAGTCAAATATGACATTTTGTTTCCAAAATCTACTGGCAGAAAAGGTGCAGCAAGCACAAAAAGGCCACGAAACACACTGTGCACGTCTTCCATGCATATTTAGTCTGAAGATAAAGAATCTTGACGGTAGCTTGCAAAGCTAATTTACATATGTAGCTAGATGCCGAACTGTTTAATTCAACCATGGCAATTTTTCTCACAGATATTCGTTCAGGAAAAGGTGAGCTTTGTTTACCTCAACGAATAATCAGTTAAAATTAAAAAAAAAAAAAATATAAAACACCAGTAGAATATAATTTTCCACTTTGTTCCATATTGTTTTAAAAAAATAATTCAACAAAAAATCTGACAAGGCAAAAATCAACCTGCTACATTTAAAAATGGCGACATAATGTCCCATTTAAATCAAATGTCGAATAAATTCTATAAGCATTGCTCAGAATGTAATATTTTTGGGATGTTCAAACGGTTGCCAAATTGGTTATGTTATAAAGTTGTAGCAAATGTTCTTCAAACATAATAGGTCTGGTTTTTGACACATTTTTCTGGTGCATATTTGCCTTTAATATTGATCATAATGTGTTAAAATTTAAAAAGACCATGTTACACTAGATAACAAGAGGCCCAGGGGGCCTGTATCGCTCACCTGGTTATTTTAGCAATCATGGCACAATATTTACATTTGCTCTGTAATGCCACTTTGTAACCACTTCAGACATGCAGGGTAAGAACTTGGAATCGTTACTATGGAGACTTTATAATTCATAAAGAATTAAGATTGTTACTATTTCTAGCACATTAGTTGGGTTGGAGATAAAAGGTATGTGATGGCTGTTCATTTGTCGAATTGTCTATATAAATAATACCAAACTTTACCCCCTCCCCAAAGGCAAACGCGGGACCTGGGGCACATGAAAATCACAAAGTATATAAACCACTCGAAGGCCTTTACAACTATGAGTAGTATTTGATACTAGCATTTCTGGAACTGCAGAAGAAGCTTTTTGAAATTCGCCTCCTTTTTCACCCCAAACCCAGCCCCCTAGGGAGTCAGGGTCACAAAATTCATACCAACAGACCTTCCTCCCCTAACAAGTATTTCTGTCAAATATGAGCAAACTCCGTTCAACACATTGGAAGATATGGCCTATTATGTATATTTCCTAAATAAACTACATTTGTATACCAAATTTCACCCCCTCACCAGGGGCAAATGAGGGGCATGGTAGACATGAAAATCACAATTTTTATAAACCACCCAAACGCTTTTACAGCTATGGGTGGTATTTGATCCTGGCATTTTTGTAACTAGAGAAGAAGATTTTCGAAATGTTCCCAAATTTCTCCCCTTTTTGGCCCCTTACTCAGCCCCCTAGAGGGTCAGACTCATACATATTATACCAGCAGACCTCCCTCCCCTATCAAGTATTTCTGTCAAATATGACTAAACCCCCTAGGAGGCCACATCCTTATTTCATAAATCCATTGAGCCCCTGGTCCCAAGGATGCTTCATATGAAATTTAGTTAAAATTCAATCAGTCGATCAGGAGATAAAGGCTTTTAAAGGAAAAAGTTGACGCCGGACGACGGACGACGGACGCCGCGGTACGGCATAAGCTCACTTGCCCTTCGCTAAAAACAAGATTTGCAAGTGATTTAAACCTGAGAAGAATGAATCCTTAAGGTGCTATGTTAGCTTAACATTAACGGTGTTAACTAAGTATGAACTAGCCTATTTAACATTAACGGTGTAAACTAAGTATGAACTAGCCTATTTAACATTAACGGTGTAAACTAAGTATGAACTAGCCTATTTAACATTAACGGTGTAAACTAAGTATGAACTAGCCTATTTAACATTAACGGTGTAAACTAAGTATGAACTAGCCTATTTAACATTAACGGTGTAAACTAAGTATGAACTAGCCTATTTAACATTAACGGTGTAAACTAAGTATGAACTAGCCTATTTAACATTAACGGTGTAAACTAAGTATGAACTAGCCTATTTAACATTAACGGTGTAAACTAAGTATGAACTAGCCTATTTAACATTAACGGTGTAAACTAAGTATGAACTAGCCTATTTAACATTAACGGTGTAAACTAAGTATGAACTAGCCTATTTAACATTAACGGTGTAAACTAAGTATGAACTAGCCTATTTAACATTAACGGTGTAAACTAAGTATGAACTAGCCTATTTAACATTAACGGTGTAAACTAAGTATGAACTAGCCTATTTAACATTAACGGTGTAAACTAAGTATGAACTAGCCTATTTAACATTAACGGTGTAAACTAAGTATGAACTAGCCTATTTAACATTAACGGTGTAAACTAAGTATGAACTAGCCTATTTAACATTAACGGTGTAAACTAAGTATGAACTAGCCTATTTAACATTAACGGTGTAAACTAAGTATGAACTAGCCTATTTAACATTAACGGTGTAAACTAAGTATGAACTAGCCTATTTAACATTAACGGTGTAAACTAAGTATGAACTAGCCTATTTAACATTAACGGTGTAAACTAAGTATGAACTAGCCTATTTAACATTAACGGTGTAAACTAAGTATGAACTAGCCTATTTAACATTAACGGTGTAAACTAAGTATGAACTAGCCTATTTAACATTAACGGTGTAAACTAAGTATGAACTAGCCTATTTAACATTAACGGTGTAAACTAAGTATGAACTAGCCTATTTAACATTAACGGTGTAAACTAAGTATGAACTAGCCTATTTAACATTAACGGTGTAAACTAAGTATGAACTAGCCTATTTAACATTAACGGTGTAAACTAAGTATGAACTAGCCTATTTAACATTAACGGTGTAAACTAAGTATGAACTAGCCTATTTAACATTAACGGTGTAAACTAAGTATGAACTAGCCTATATAAATCTGGGCAGTCCCTTGTTGTCGTGTGATTTCACTTTATTCAAAAATCTTTACTTCCATGTTTGAATTTATTTTTCTTGTTATTTATAGGTCAATAAAGACTAAGTTACAGAGTGGTTCTCATCACAAAGATCATGGACAAAAACCACCTTACAATTCCACCATTAGGTAGCGGTGGTAGCTTTAACAGGAAAACGGATCCGGAGGCAGTTGCTAGACCAAAGGAACGACCGAAGCATATAAACCATAGCTACATACGAAATGCTGACGGAACACTAGCCAAGGTGACAAACTTCGGAGACACTTCATTGGACCACCTACATTACGTGACTGTATTTGGGGAAGACAAACACAGAAGGAGACGACATCACTACGAAGACGTAGAACCCACCGGTGATATTCTTGATAATGGGAACGTGACCCTAGACAAGTTCCAGTTTGATTACTTATTTGGAGGTGGATCTAGACCTAAAAGTGAAAAACCAAAAGAGAAAGTCACCGAAATCGAGCACCCATACAGCAGAGGACTTAGTAGTAGCATACCCTATTATGGTTCTCCGCAAATTCTTACAACTTTTAACACTTCTCGAAAACTTGGCGAAGTGTCAAAAATCATACCAATAGAAAGTGGCAAAGCTTGGATTAACACAGTAGGTGACTCATTTTTGACATTAATTGATAATACGGGGAAGAGACTGAACAGAACACCGATTTACGACAACTGTATTTGGGATTTCGCCGTTAACAGAAAACACAAAATGTACATAACTGTTGACCGCAGTTCCCAAGTCCATGCTTTGACACCTTACGGTGACCAAACCGCAGCAGGGAACTTCCTGGGTTATCAGCCCTACGGTGTAGCTGTGACGGACGATGGCAGACTTCTCGTTTGTCTTCGGCCGTTAGCTGGAACCCAAGGTCACAGTAAATTGGTTATAATTAGCAAAACTGGTCAGGTGACGCGTGAATTAGAAACTCATGAGGACAGGAAGACGCCATTGTTTACTGACCCCTACAATGTTCATTGTATCAAAAGTGGCAAGATATTTATACGGGACGGGAACACGAGAGTCGTGTGTATTAGTGAAAATGGTAAACACCTTTACACGTGGTCAAATCATCACGATGATGTTAACACGGAAGGGGAGGAGGTGTTTAACCCCTCGCGTTTAACCTCTGACCGCCATGGGTCACTGATCGTGTCATCGAAAGATACTAATAAAGTGTACATTCTGCCCGTAGATGGCAAGGGGCTACGCTGTCTCCTGGACCTCACCCACGGGATACACGCCCCGTGTGGGTTGGGCGTCGACAATGACGGCAATCTGTGGGTTGCGTGCAAGGAAAGGGCACTGCACATTATCAAGTACTGATACAAGCAAAGATAATCGCTGACATTGTCTCTCATTCTATCAAAAGTGGCAGAGATAAATATATCTAAAAGCGATGTTGATCGAATGGAACATTTTTGTCGGAATGAATGCTGTTTGACAACACTTTATATTTCTGTAAATAAATTTACATACTAAAACAAATGAAATCATAATAAATATGGAAAGGTTGTAGAACATTTATAATATTGCTTAGATTATGAAAGATTAGTAAAGATATCAATAATATAGTCAAGTCAATACTGTTTTTTTTCTGTGACTCATAATATCATTGGTACGTACAAAAGAGGAGTAAAACCTCGCACCTGTGTGTCTCACATAATCTAGTATTCATCTTCACTCCCTACTCTAATATTTTATCGGTGATAGCTATCAGAAGCATCAAACTAGCACTCCTCCTTTTAGAAGCATATTTCAAACTGGACTTGAATCCTTTCTCCCTCTTACATCGACCACCCTATAAATGGTCTTGCTAACTTGTTCTCACTCCCTCTTACATCTTAATGATTTAGAAGATTTTATGAAATCACGTGATTGTAAAGGGTCTAATATAAACGACCAGCTAGAAGAGGATTTACATGTATATATGAAGCTTTATGTTATGCTATACGCTGATGACACTATACTACTATCGGACACGGCAGAGGATTTGCAAAATCAATTAGATGTATTTCTCGAATATTCCAACCTATGGCATCTTAAAGTCAATATAAGCAAAACTAAAATCATGGTATTTGGTAGAAAAAGAATTCCTGATGGCCTTAGTTTTACATACAACGGTACTGTTATAGGAATAGCTAAGGATTTTAAATATCTTGGGGTTTATTTTACTAAAACTGGTTTGACACAGTTTAATATTAAACAACTGTATGGTAAAGGTTTAAAAGCAATGTATGGTGCTATTTCCAAATGTAGGGATCATAATTTGTCAATAGATTGTCAACTTGATATATTTGACAAAGCCATCAAACCTATTGTTTTATACGGATGTGAAGTTTGGGGTTTCTGTAACTATAAACTTATCGAACGTTTACATTTAAAATTTTGCAAACACATACTTAATGTTAAAACGTCTACACCGAACTTTATGATATACGGAGAACTTGGAAGGTTTCCGCTAGATATTAATGTCAAGGTAAGAATGGT